TCTCTATTTTTCACATCCAAATGACAAATAAAGATATTTATTAATACTATCACATTAGAATAAGTTTTATTCAAATCCAAATGACAAATAAAGATATTTATTAATACTATCACATTAGAATAAGTTATAATTTTGTTAAAATCGCTTTTGGTTCCAGGAAAATATAAAAGGAGTTTCGGCTCTTATATTCCTCAAAAGGTTCTGCTACTTCCGATTCTAAATTCCAAATTCCGGTTGGGAACGCTGATTACATTTTAAGGCAATACATTTAATAGTTTGCCATCAAGTTAAGAAATAGGGTAGAAATGAGAAAAATAAAATTGTCAAATTGACAAATCTAATATTTCCAACTTTAATTTATATAAATCGCATCTTAATATCCTTAACAAATCTAATAACTATAAAAGATAGATTGAAAAGTTTAAACTCATTTGTATATTTTAAAAAAAACTATGTAAAAAGCCCATCAATAAGATATTTAAAAAATGTTGCTAAAATTTAAATATATATTAATTATCATTTTTTATTTTAAAATATATATATATATAAATACATACAAATCTATATTAAAAGAGAACATGATAAGTATTTAAAAAGATAAATATATTAAATTTAAAAAAAACACATTAAAATATTAAAAAGAAAAATGCTAAGTGATTGATTAGGGCGAAGAATTTTTAAACATTAAATAATTGGACCGAATTACGTGATAGCAATTAAATTTATAAAAAAGGTTTTTTTTTCCTTACTTTTGAAAAGATTCAAAGCGGCTTACGGAGCAGGATGATGTAGCTATGGGGACAGTTGTTATCACCCATCGTAGAAATATTTAACATTTTAATGACTCAGCCCTGTGAAGAGAGTCATGTATATTATTATAAGTGGCAAGGGGGGTCTATGCAACTAATATCCTAGATCAAGGATTTGCTTGATACAAAAAGATTATATTTATTTTTTATAAAATCATTAGTGTATATAAAATGAAAATAATTAAATAATATCATAAATTATTTATAATATATAATTAATTTGAAATTTATAAATAATCACTTTTATTCCTCCTCACCATTATCTATATCTACGTCAACCTCTTTATCTTCCTCCTCCTTTCAAAATAGTTTTAATAATTTCAAATATTAAAACTCGGAGGGGGCCAACAATTAAAATAATCAAATTTGAAAAATCTGAATCGAGTTTAGCTTGAATATTGAATTTATTTATTTTTAATCCAGGCCGAGATCAATAGTTCGATCTGTGGGGGTCTCTGTTAATAACTAAATCGTTGTTCATGGAAATCTATTTATGTTATAACAAGTTATAAGCGTTTTCAAATAGCCACCAATTGAGTATTTGATGTGGCATCTCATATTATGAATAAAAGTGTGTTCAGACTTGGCGAGCCCTATTAATAGCACTTAATCATGATATATTGCTATATTAAATATAATAATATACTACCCAGCCTCGATATCTTTTATATATATATAAATAACTTTTTAATTGAATATTATTATATTTTTTAAAAGATGATGTAATTTTTTTAATGTATATTTAGGATTATCCCAATTAATATTTCTATTTTACAAGGTTTATTTTTGGTTTCACTTTAACAAAAAAAATTATTAACTTAAAATTTTTAAAATAGGTTTGATGCCTATTTAAGTAAACAATATTTTACTATAAGGTGGTGGTTCATGTTAAAAATAAATCTCATCAAGTAAATAAAACCAGAACTGAGGTGTAACAATATCTAGTTGCAGTCGGAGATAGGGAGTGGAATTCAACACAGATTATTTGTTTGCTGAAGCAAATTCAATATTAGATGCGGGACCTCCTTCTTCCCCATAGCAATTAAAGAATATTCTGAGTGATGTTTCCGTTTAATTCATTGGAAGCTGCGTCTAATATTCAACAAATTAAATAATTAACATAGTCATCTCCTGATTCCATGAATTTCAGGATCCCCCTAAAATACAAATAAGGGGGGGGGGGGGAAGGTAGTATTTAAACACTTAATTGAATAATTATTTATATAATAACATAGTATTTTATATTTTTTATAAAAATGTCTTAATTATCATAAGGTTAAGTTTTAACAATACCCATGTTATATATGTGGTGAAAACCTTAAAAATGACCACAGACGAAATTATTTTTGGGTTGAAGAATTGTGATACGTCAAGTTTATCCAATAAAAAATTCCAAGTTAATAAAACACGATTTTTTGTTAACTTTTTGATGGCCTAAACCGCTCGACCATTTCTGGTTTTAGGAATTAAAACATTGAAGGATATTAGAACTTGGCAAGGCAGGCTCGTCAACTATTTATAGTTTTTTCGCCCAGTTAGTGATAATTTTTTGGGAAGGTATTTGCATTATTCAAGGTTTCAAAAAGAAATTAAATTCTTAAAAGGCTATTTTCTAGGTTTCTTGGTCTAATGTTTTTTACCGGCCGTATTTTTGAATTAGGCTTTTGAATTTCATAAGGCTCTTAATAAATACTTATACATATTTATATTTAATTATACCCTTTAATAATGTTCATCAATTTGATCAATAAAATTTAACAAAAATATTTTGGCTATTAAATATTTAAAATTAAATTGAGTCCGGCCTTTATATTTTTTATAAATATTTTTATTTTATTATACTATTTAAAGATGAGGTAATTTTTTTTTAAATGTTGAAAATTTAGGTTCATCTCAATTAATATTTTTATTTTACAAAGTTTATTTTTGTTTTTTAAAACAAAACAAATTTATGAACTCAAATTTTTTTAATAGATTACACCTTTTTAAATAAATACAAATAGTATTTTACTATATGGTGGTGGTTCATGCTAACATTAAATCGAATCAAGTTTATATCATTTTTTTTTCCTTTTTTCCTCTAATTGTCATAATAGTTCAAAAGTAAAACTAAAATTGATGCACCTAATATGAGCTGCACTCCGAGATTGTAAGCAGAATTTAACTGAGATTTTTTTTGTTGAACAAATTTGATATTAGATGCAGAGCCTCCTCCTTCCCCAATGAAATTAAAAGAATCTAAGTATTGTTTACGATTAATTTCATTTGGCGAGTCTGTCTCTAATATTAAGTTTCAATAATATAAAAACTAAAATTTCTTGATCCCACAAAGCACAGATATGGTGGTTAGTATTTAAAAACTAAACAATTATATGTATTATAACATAGTATATTATATTATTTTAGAAATGTGCAATATTAACATATGAGTAAACATTACCGAATGATATATATATAGTGAAACTCTTGAAAATGACCACATACGAAATAATTCCTGAATTATAGAATTGTGATCCTAAGTTATTTAAACGCGATGATAACTTTTTATGTTTGCCTAAACCCGTGCTTGGCCACTTCTGGTTTTAGTAATTAAAATTATTCAGCATTGAAGGATATTAGAACTCATCACGGCACCGGCTCGTCAACGATTTTAAAAGTTTTTTCGCCAAGTTAGTACTAATTAGGCATGGCCTAAAAATTTATTTTGTACCCGGCCAGAAATTATTTATGAACAAATTGACCGGCCCTCGATCAGTAATAACTTTTTGGGAAGGAAAAATTATTTGCATTATTCAAGTTTCAAAAAGAAGTTAAATTCTTAAAGGGCTTTTTTCCAGGTTTCTTGGTCTAATGTTTTTAACCGGCCGAATTTTTGAATTAGGCTTTGTGAATCTCATAAAGCTCTTAATAAATACTTATACATATTTATTTTTAATTATATATATACCTTTTAATAATGTTCATCAATTTGATCAATATAATTTAACAAAAATATTTCGGTTATTAAATATTTAAAATTAAATTGAGTCAATTTTAACTAACTAACGACTTTTACAGGACTATATCTCAATCCCTGTTTTGAATTAAACACTGGAAGTATTTTTTGTATAGCACCTCTGCAATTAATTTTAAAAAAACATCTTGAAGAAATTGGGTTAAAAGTGTAGGTAAATAGCTGATTATAAGTTGGTATAGAATTTACCACATTATAACCAAAAGTTGCTCTCAAATTAGTAAAGAAAGTTCCCGAAATTATTATTCCTAATATCTTCTATATTTCATAAATATTGGCTACTACGAATTTATACTGCTGGGTAGAGGGAAGGCGAGCCCGATCTGGTACAATTTCATTAATAATGTTTAACCATGGATAATTTTTCCTAGACAAATACCAAAATATTGTTTATATATTTCGATATCGATACACTTTTAAGAAATATATCAAGATCTAAATTCAACGATTTTAAATTGCACATTTTCGATACAATCATATTAATTAAAAAAAATTATGCGAATTTGAAATCTAACATTTTTAAAAATTTTTGAAAATGGAAGCAGGATGTTGAAAATAAATAAGTTGAAATTATTTATATGTTAGCTTGAGCAAAATAAAGGTATTTGATCTCTATTTTTTCACATCCAAATTGTTAAATAAAGATAATTTTTTAACATTATCACTTAGAATAAGGTATAATTTTTCTTAGAATCGGTCTCGGTTCCAGGAAAATACAAAAGGTGTTTCCTTATATTCTTTAAAAGGTCCTGATTCCGGTTATTATTCCGGTTCCAAACGCTGATTATATTTTAACGAAATACATTTAATAGTTTGCTACTCAGTTTTAAAAATATATGGCGGAGATGAATTAAATTATCAAATACCTAAATTTTCTGATATAAATGACATGATAGAGATTTAAATTTTTCCAACTTTAATATATATTATCACACCTTAATAATATATGTATCGTGATACTTTAAAGAATCTAATTAAATTATACTATTATAGATAGTTTGAAAAGTTTAAACTCATATATATATTTTAAAAGGAAGGCTATGTATAAAAAGCCCATCAATAAGATATATAAAAAAAGGATGCTAAAATAAATTTACATTGTATTTATTTCTTATAAAATCATTAGAGTCTATGTCAAAGAAAATAATTAAATAATATCCTAAATTATTCACAGTATAATAATTTGAAATTTATAAACAATCATTCTTCTTCCTCCTCTTCGTCATCTAATTCAACTTCAACCTCTTCCTCTTCCTCCTCTTCGGCATCTGGGCTCTTTTTAATTGCAGACACTCTTTTAGTACTTTTTCGCTTTGAAGTTCTTGTATCAGTATCCTCATCCTCATTTACGGGATTTTCACTAGCTATCGTATCCAGGGTCATGAGAGAAGCGAATATTGTCATCATCATTTTCGGTTTCAACTATGATACATAATAAATAAAACAACATATTTTATATATTGTGTTTAGTTTTCACTAATTAACTTGTACAGAGATTTATACTGAATTAAGGCTTATTTATTTTATTGTTTTAAAATAATTTGATTTGTTTTAAATAATTCGATGTTTCTAATTAATTACAAATACCAATAAAAAATTATTCATTATGTATAATCGAATATGATGCATTATTCATGATGTGTTTTTATTTCGAATAAGCTTATCGTGTATATAAAACAAATATAAGTTAAAAAATACTTTATTTATATCTCAAGATAAATATATCATTAGTCCTTTCATAATGCAAAAACGGCATTATATTAAACAGAAAAGTTGTAAAAATATAAAGAAATTTAAAATATTTTAGAATTTGCATTTATCATAATATCTTATAATAATATTATTTCGCATCATTTTATTATTCTGCTCTCAAATTTTACATCGAATGATTAAATTCAATCCTTTTCACTTATAACCGACCTTAAAAAATTTTTAACCTCCAAAACGTCCTCAGGTAATGCAATGATTACCGCCCCCAATTTTCGTGACAACGAAATAGCATAGCCAATATTAGAGAGACGATCTTCATCGTTGATGCTACGGTCCGGGGTGCCATCTTCGGTGACACCCTTGACCAATCTGAACATTGTAAAAAAATATTATCTTAAAACTTAATTAAATAAAGGGTTGTTTACTTGCAAAAGGATATCTCTAAAAAAATGTACAGTAGAGAAATTGTTTAATCATATACATTTATTTGGTGTAATATATATTAAGGCCAAAAAGTAAGATCGTGTTACCCCCAAATTACTCGCCCCGGTTTGATGCACTCGAGTAATTCTAATATAGAGATTCCATCAGACAAAATCGGGTCTTGGAAACTCTTGAAAATTCTTTTCTTATCATTTTCTTTCAATTTGGCGGTTGCCCATTGAATAATGTCCTTATCCTGGATCTTCCCACCTGGTTTAAGCTTGAGCAATATAGTCGTTGTTTGTTTATGTAATAATTGATAGAGCATAGACAAAATAGCGTTCTTTTTCATTTCGTAAATATCGGCTCCCCCTATTCCAACCTGAAATAATTTTAATAATAAAAAATCATTAAAAACAAAAAAATATTATTTTAATATGGTGACCCTTTTTTAAAAAAAATTATAAATAAATAGTTACAATAATTTTCACTTAAATAACTAGACTTCGAGATAATTTATTACCAATGAAATGCCGAAGTTTTTGGTAGCCATTTCTACAACTTGTCCACAGTTGTCCTTTTTTTCTATCGAGCCGGTAGTTTTTTTAAACGTTTTACGCACTTTGGTCCAGTCAACACTTTTGGGCTGCATCTTATCTAGCAATCCGCACAACACTATTCCATCCTGCAAATCAGGATACAAATATTTAACTCTCGGTTGAACGCCCAGTGAATTTATCCAATTCCTGAAAGTTTTTTCTTCCCTTGTCTCTTCAATTTTTTCCTCAGGTGGCTCTAAACCATCTATCGGCAATCCCGGATGATTGTTAAATAAGTTTGCTACGAATGCTAAACATAGTTTGTAGTTTCCTGTGCTAACATCCCTGGATGTTATGAAATCTCGGCAACCCAATTTATCAGCTTGATCCAACATGATATCAGCTCGCTTAGTTAGGTTTGGTTCTAGCATAGCGTCCATTGTTACTTTCGCTTCTCGCGGAGCGATTTGATTGATTAGAGTGGAAAATATTTCGCAGTCTTGAACGTCTTTCGTAAAGTTCTTCATTTTTCTCTTACATTTGGCCAATCCTAATTGATAGTTGACCCATCTCATCAGAATTTTCTCAGGGGACATTTTCAGAAAATCAGATAGCGATTCGTTAGGTTTCAATAGTATCTACACTCAGCGTTATTCCAGTAAAAAAATTGATTTTCATAATAAATATCGGTTGTAACATGTATATTGTTTACATTTAATGAATAATCATTTGGCTTTTTCATATAATTTGTAAAATTATTTTATGTATTTTTTTAACTTGGAAGACTTATTTATAAATATTATGCCTGATAATGCCAGTTTATTAATAATTAATACTTGTAATCCTGGATGAGATTTAAGATCTAACCTAGCGAACAGCCCCAGTATTATGAGTTGCCTCAAAAAGCTCAAAATAAGATGAGGCCGCTCATTTAAAAAATCTTCCGCATGAATGTTGGTAGTATTAACTCCAATAGATTTCGCGGAATTTACCGCCAAATTCAAATTTTCCTGCTTCTTGTAGATATTCAATTCTTTTCCATCGGCTCGTTTATTCAGAGTTCTTTCGTCAATAGTGTTTGCTTGAACAGTGTTCACAAGTTTACAAAGCAATAATCCATCTTTGAGTTTTGGGAAGAACTTTCCAGTTTGCACAGGCATTAAAAATTTTAGATCGCTGTCGGACCCTAATAACTTGTTTATCCAATTAACGTAAGCGGCTTCTTCTTCCGCGGCAACGGAATGTTTAAGACGTTTCTATTTATTTAGAATCATTATGAGAAATATTTTTCATTTTAAATAATATATAAATTTATTTAATGATTATACCTCCATTCTCCGAATATTTGTTCTAAAAAAAGGACTACTCCTTCGTTAAGACTTTCATTATATAAGAAACGTAGATAATCATTATTAAAAATGATATAATGTATAATTAAATTAGAGAATCTTGATTGAAAATTAAAAAGTTTTTTTAAAAAATAAATTTGTTTCGTAAACAGCGTGATGTAGTTAATATAATATCGTATATATATATAAAGCGATACATATAATTTTATATTAGTATTTCATAAAGTATTTTATAAAAATTTAATAACATTTTTAGCGATTATAAGTATCATTTAATTTTATGGCTAAGTGACAATATAATTTTAGTTTCTGGATATAACTTAGAAACCTAATTAATTTTACTCGGAAGGGGTAGGCGTAAGTTTTGTTCCTTCAGAAAATTAAATTTGGAGATTATATATTTTTCGACTTTGTCTTTTCCTTAAATTTTGGTCATTCAATGTAGATTTTTACATATCTTCGTTGTGCATATATTTTATCGCTTCATATATTATTTCTTAAAAATTTAGACATTGAATATAATTGAAAATTATTTCTTATAAGGCACACTATACGACCAATATAACTCGAAGATTTGAGATTAAGTGATAATTCGCCCCAAACAAGGCGATAGGCACGTGAACTTAAAAGTATAATAATCAAATCAATTTTTAGTATGCCCTAATTATTAATTATCGCAAAACATTATAGCCCTCGTGGAATTTATGATTTACTGACATCAAGAAAACATCATTAATTCTATGGAGACTGAAGGGTGTATGATTCTTTCATTTTGAAAACAATCGCGAATCTCTGATAATATTTTTAATAATCTTCGTCCAAGATAAGTCACTATCTTATAAGAAGACCAAATTTAAAATTTCGTGTAAAGTTTAGCTTGGGCAGAGTTACCTTTAAAGTAATTAAATTATACTGTAGTTCTCGGGTATAGGCTCTTTTTTGCTCCACTCCTTTTTAATAAACCTATAGAGGTTTAAGTATATTTCGGAATGTTGTGCCTACAAGTACGTGCGGCTTGCCCACAAACGTGTAGAGGGCTACTCATATTTTTACTTACCCAAATTAAACTATTCCAAATAGATGGAAATGAGGAAAACCTAGCGTAGCTCTGTTGAACCTTCAACGCTAGAGGGCAGAAGCGCTATATATCACGTATCACGTAATTCTAAAAGTGATATATTATGAAGAGTATTTTGATCCCATATTTAGACAGTTTAATTGTATCACTAGAATTACCGTTTTGCGAAAATATAATGAACCATAGATTTTTATTATTAAAATTGCAGCCCCATCAATTGTTAAAAAAGTCATGAGATTTTTTTAAAATGATAATAAAACTATCTGATTGTGATTTAGACAATTTCCAAGTAGAAGTGAATACTTGGTCTAAAATGTGGAAAGATAAAGAAAGACCAATCTTCATTTTTAAATTGTTAGAGGATGTCACATATTTAAAAATTAAATTGGCTATATTAATTACCTTATCACTATCTAATATGACTTGCTCAATAGAAAGAAGTCTTAGAATAGACAGCAATGGTAGGTACAATTTATACTGCATATCGTATAAAGAAAGAATCCTTGGGCACGATCAATAAATTTTTTGTTACAACGAGCCTTAAAATCGGTCCAAATACCTGCAATACTTGAACCACCTGAACCTTTTAGATCCGAATATAAATGGCGGTCTGACAGAATCACCCTATGGAAACGGGGCCAATTTCTCGTTTGGGACAGTCCATATATAGATCCATTAGCCCTATCCAACCAAATTTCAAACTTACTCGAGCAAAAAGAGCAGCTTAAAGTTTCCAAATATTTAGAAATTTCAGAAGATCATATTAAAATATCCACAATCTAAACTTTTTTGGTAAGCATGCCTTATTCTTCTTCGTGGATCTAGGATCTTCCCTTTACAAGCTTATTGGCGATCCTGAGAAGGATTCTTTAAGACAGATGCTGGCCATAGCTATTAAAGCGAAACATATGCTTCGACAGTCTTCTTTCCAAAGAGTAGCTAGACTTCACCATATTTCATCTTTAATTTTTTTTATTTGGGATTTGTCTTTTTTTTGTATATGAACAATTCTTTATTTTTTTAACATATATCAGAGACCTCGTATTTTAAGTTTTTAATCGGATCTAAATTTTTTTAAAAATACCGGGGCCGAGCCGAATATTTTAAAACCGATAATCTTAAATCGCCATTATTAGCTATAAATATTAAAAATAAATGTAATATATTTTTAAGAAATCTGGGCTGGATCTGAAAATGTAAAACCAAGGCAGAGCTGACCTGAAATTTTTTTAAAAAAAAAATAATCCGGGCTAATGGTACCTCTCTCTGACATATTGTATATTTTGATTATTTATAAACAAAATTTATTTTATTATAATTTTTTAATAATAACTAATAAAGTTATGAGTAATGTATTAGCATGAATTCGGTTTAAGTTATATTTTTAAACTATAAGATATATGAAAGGTCCATGAAAATTTATAGAAGTTATGTTGAACAGACGAGATCGTTGTCAGGCATTTCCACACTGTAAAATATTATAAGAAAAATATGATTATCATCATGCTTTTGTTTTATTTGTTATATATTTAATTTTGTTGAATAGTGGTTCCTAGTAGTATTTTTAAACGAGTGAAAGAAGCGGAGACAATATTTTTCTGGATAAAATATTCAGTTAGCCGTTTTAAAAATCAGCTCACCGAGCCGTTTAACAACACTAAACCTTACTCATAAAAAAATATTATAAACTTTAAAAAATATTATAAACCTTAAAAAAATACTTAAAATTGGAGGCAAAGAAAAAATAATTTAGACAAATTAGGAGAAGATAAAGAAAAAGTTATAATTCAAATTTTTCTCTATTTATAAAATGATTAAATTATTCAGAAATTTATCTTTCATAGAATTCCGATGTCTTGGTTTAATTTGTTTTATTATTCTCATGATCCTTTTGCCAGTGATTAGGTTGTAGGAAAAGTAAATAAATATTTATAATGATAAATTAGGGAAAGCCGAAAAATTTTAAAGTACACGATAAGGTAAAATAAAAGAATAGTTATTCCAGTCTGAATCATAACAATCTCATCTCAGAATCATCATCAGATAAATAATTTATTAATATAAATATTTTATTAAAATAAATTTACGATTCTCAGACTCTGAAAAGTTTTATGTTTTACAAGGTCATCTGTAACAATTACATTCCCCTTTTTAGTTGTCATATAAATATTTCGAAAGTTCGACATTTCGGAGAAAACTTGATTAGAACTTAAATAGTATAATTCACCGATATCCTTGATATCATCGTTAATAAATGTATTTTTAACGATTCCTTTTGGTGCAAAAACGAGATTTGGTTTTAAAATTTTATGGATTTGTCATAAATATTTCATTAAACGGCATTGTTATGAAATCGAATGCGACATAAAACATTCTGGTTTTAAAGCTTAAAATACTTATTAAGGACATAAATGTCTCCCCTTCATAAAATCTTGGGCCTTAGAAAAATTATTCAAAAATTCAATGTCATATCTAACAAGATTAAAAAATGTTACAAGATAACTTAAATTATCCTTCTTAACTTAATCAGACAATCGTTGCCAACTGAATTTGATTCACTGCAAACTTTATATCCTTTGACATGGTTGGCAAATTTGTACAAACCAAGCTCAATAATATTTATTCAAAACGTAGAGTGATAAAATAAAATAAAATTCTCTCTTCTTTTAACTATGCACTAGACATGACAGAAGGCAAGATCTTCAAAATCCTTTTGGTCAAAACTGCCTTCGAGGCATCATAAAGTAGAAAAAAATGCAACAGCTTTATATGATGATAGCTAGCTTCTATAAATATATAAAATAAACATTTTAACTAAACCAATAACATAATATTACCGACTAACCCCCTTTTCACCGGCCTTCAGCCGGGTCCCTAAAAAATATTACATAATATTAATTTTTTAGTAATTATCTTTATATCATCTTTCTTAAAGTTGCTGAACAATTGGAAATACTAATTCTTGACAATATTTTGTGCTTTATTAATGTCTAACCACTATAGCCTGCATAAATGGAAAAATATTAGTAACATTTTGGCGTAATTAATAAACGATTTAAAGCACTATTCAGGGATGTGAACCCTTCGACATAAAAAAGGGTCCAGGTCCGGGTTCAGGTTTGGGTACGGGAATAAAATTTGAAAGGACCCGGGTCCAGGGTTTGGGTCCGCGTTTATAGAACATAAAAATAATGACATTTTTTTATTCATTTATTATTATACTTCAATATATACATATTCTTAATTTACAAATTAAAAATTTAAAAATGAAAAAATTTATATTTTAAATGTTATATTCTCGCACAATCATAATATCTTTTAAAATATTTTCCTTGAGATATCCACGTAAAGTAGACAATATATATTTCAAAGATGAAAATTCACGTTCTACCCTTACCTAAAATAGAGAGTTATCTTTATAAAATTATTGTACTTGTGTCGCCCGTACAGCCATGAAGATTCTAGATAAGATATATAATTCTGAATATGTTGAAGAATTTTCTTCCCAGAATTTTAAAATATTTATATCCTTATTTATTCTTTTAACTTCTGAGAACTTTACTATAAAGATGCAATAGACATTTTTTTGATCCTCCTTTCTATCTGATGATAATTTGATTTTTTTTCTCTATCTAGAAGTAAAATTTCAAGATCATCAATGTTGCTATCATTATTATTATCACTACAACCAATAGGTATTGTCGTAGAATCCTTAAGATGGTCTCTAGCCTTTTGTTTTTGCTCAATACTCAATAAAACTTGATATCGAGTGTCTAAATATATAGAAGTGTATGTAACATGCAAATATTGTTGCTCTCGAATTCTCATGTTTTCTAATATTTCGTATAAAAAGGGTAAATATTTCTAAATCTAATCGGCATCTAATCCATACGCCTTAAAATCAATAAAACATAATTCTTCTGATTGTAATCTTAAAATTGTTATTTTTAAAGAAACTAATACACTAGTAAGGTCCTTTATTTGGCATCAATCATCTTCCGACAAAATGACTTCACATGCTACTATATTAAATCATTACAGAAATCTTTCAAACTTAATAATCGTTCTAGCTTCATACAAATTGAGGACTAACGTGTTGTGCGTTATCATTTAAATTAAAATATTATAACTTGTACTACAAAATAATCCACTTTCAAAATAAACAACGTATTTCTATAACATAGCATATTAATAAATTTACATAATAAAATATTATCACACTGGAAAATAATTTATGATATCAATCTCCAAATATAATGGAAGTTCAGGAAGAAAATTGAAAGATAAACGGAAGATAAAATAAATGATTCCACAAAAAAAGTTAATAAAATTTAAAAAATTTATATTATTTTTTAAAAAAATATTTTATTTTTAAAAATTTATATGACACCTAGAACCCTTAGACCCTCCACTTTTAAAAAGGGTCCGGGGGTTCGGGTTCAGCCAAAATACGAGGGTTCAGGAGGGTTCACATCCCTGCTATTCTGAGATTTTCATCTAGAAATAGGGTGTGTCCATTTAAACTGTTTTCACTGGTGCTATTTCTTAAATAGCTTTTTACCTTTCAAAGTTGAAAAAGACCTTTCATTAGTGCAGGTACTAATCGGAATGGTAGCTAAAATATATAGCAATGTTTTGTTTTGATATTAGGTAGGGGATCTTAGGTGCAATTACACATGGAAAGGGCCTGCAAAGCATTTTTTGGTCTCAAAGAGTACTCTATTTTGTCAATATTTTTATACAAAAATTTAACATCAAGTATCTTATCATATCAGAATAAAACTCTGAGATTTTCTTAATATACTCCCACGTTTCAAGTTTAACTAACAATTCAAACTCAACCGGAAAAAGAAAATAAAGCCTTTTAAATTAAAATTATTACTAATAAATCTTTCCTTTAATTGAAATAAAAATGTATCAAATAGAGAGATAAAATTATTTATTTTATAAAAATCCTCAATCATAGATGCATCAATCTTTAAGCGAGTGGATTGTCTAGAAACTACTCTATGTTTAAAAATTTCAATCTTAAACATATTAGCGATCTCCTTTACTTTCTCGTATATTTCATGAAATTTTTCATCTACATAATTTCTGATATTTCTTAGTATTTCAACAATATCCTTTCTAAGACTACTGAGCAGCGCGAGGTAACTAATAAGTTTCTTTTAGTTTTTACCTAACTACGCAGTTCAGGTTAAAGAGTGATATTAACCTCTGGGCTGGGTTAGGGCTAGATTGGAGCTTTGCAACATAAGGGTTAATGTATGTATTATATAAAGAGAAATATTATTACTGTTTTAAGAAAAAATTAATACAATATCTAACAAGATTTGTTGCAAATTTTCATTACTATTTTTATTTTATATAGGATCTACCAATATTTTACTATAAATCTTTTATTACAATATTCATATTTTAATTTTTCCATTTTCTTAAATTATGTTATTAAAATCATTTAAAAGTTTTGATTAAATGTTTAAAATTTTCAAATTTTATATACAATTGATTTTGGTTGATTTACTATATTATTTTTTTTAATGGCGGTGTCGCATAGGACTACAGGAAAATATTTTGACCTGTTAGTGTTTATTCATAAATTGAAAAAAAAGTAATTTTATTAGAGGTGGACCTCTATTTAGTAAAATAATTTCATGATAACTTAGGGCTAAGTAAACTAGTTTAATTATCAGACCTGTTTTTATCTTAAATAATTATTATGCAAAAATTTTTATTTTTTTGTATATAATTTTATTTAATATATATATATATATACATAAACTACTTACAATAATATATTTATATATAATATTTAAAATATAAAATAATCATAATCATAATCCTTAATCAATTTGTAAAATAATTCTTGTTTTATGTTTAAATTTTTTAATCCAATATTTGATAGTTTTCTAATTGCGTAAAGTAAAAATTACATCCTACATCGTCGCCTGAGAATTATATTATTCTATCTCCACTTTTTCCAACTTTAAAGGAGAGCAAGTTTAATTTTTTATCTGTATTTTGAATATTAGAAACGCTTTCTTATTCTCTTATTTTAATTTTAGGATGTGTATATTTGGTAGTTTCTCATTACTTAATTATATAAAATACCATGACATATTTCCGAAATATTTTTCATTATTCTCAAACTGGAATTATATAAATACCAAATTTTATTTTTATTATTTTAAGAAATATTATTCTATAAACAACTTCTTTCCATATATTGAATAATAATAATTACTAAAGTAAACAAGACAACAGATTAAATTTTATAATAAAAATTTAATATAATATTTCATTGGAATAGATAATAATTAATGTACTTATTTTTCTTAAAATAATGATAAAAAATATTCTCTTTAATTTTTTGTTTTTAGATAAGTAATATCAGGATCTTTATCTCTTAATCGGGCCATTTTGGCGAAACTCCTACAATATATTACTATTATTTTCTCTCATAAATATAATAAATTCGCGTGTCTATATGTTGTCCGACGTATATTATCATTGATTATGACTGAAATAAAATTTTTGAAATTATAACACTTATAAACATACTAAATTTAATGGCCCTTTCAGATCAAGAAGCTTTGTCGTTATGTAGAAGTTCAGATGACATAACAAAAGTAATACTTATTTATATAATTGAATATATTTATAAATAGGATTTTATAATGCAACAAACAATGTTGCGAATTAAAGATTCTAAAAAATCATTGGAATTTTATTCAAAAATCCTTGGAATGAGGTTATATGAATAAATAACATAATAGATTTGATTGTATTTTTTAGCTTATTAGACCGATTTGATTTCCCAGAAATGAAATTTACAATATATTTTATGGGGTATGAAAATATAGCAGATATTCCAACATCAAAAGAAGATCGTATCAAATGGACCTTTTCTCGTAAAGGCACTATAGAACTAACTCAGTAAATATTTTTATTATGATAATCCATTTTTATAAGTAATTGGGGGTCAGAAGATGACCCAAAAATTAAATATCATGATGGAAATGTTGACCCAAAAGGATTTGGTAAAAAGCAATATTTTTATCATAATGTCATTATTTTTAGGACATATAGGAATATCAGTACCAGATGTGGAAAAATCTTGCAAGTATTTTGAACAAAATGGGGTTGAATTTCAGAAAAAACCTGATTCAGGTAATAAAAATAATGATGATTTTTCATGAAATCTTATTATATCTAAGCATTTTTTTCGCAAACTAATGCACATAAGATATATAAAATATACTTTTTATTATCAAATAGAAAGGTAGTATAATATATTGGCTAATAGTAATGAAAAGTTTTACCAATGCCAATGGCTGATACTAGAAGTGTAATTAGAACCATGATTTAAAAAAATTAACCAGAGGCCTACACAAATTTTTTATTAATTTTTAAACCCGGCCCCAAAAGTTTAATAAAAAAAATTTTTAATGTCTAAACTAGATTAAATTGACATTGAAGTGACTTATAATTAGGTAATTTTAAGAAAATTAAATCTCTTGCATAATGACTAATAAATATTACAAGAAGGGTTGGGCAAATTTTTAGAAATTTATAACCAGATACAAATATAGATGTTTTTTTTAAATTTTGTATTTAAGATACTAGATACTTAGTAAAAATTTTAAAAAGATACAAGTTATTTTTTTTGATTAAATAGTCAAAATCAAAATGGTAATGAACTTTATTTTTTAAATAAAATATTCTATTAATAAATATTTCTTTTCTATAACTATTTGACATATTTATATTGTACCTGTCATCTTTCAGTTATTAAAGACTTCTACTAAATTATTTGAATTTGTTGTGGTACTTTTAAAACAAAAATAATCATCATCTTCCTATATATGTGGTTTGATCGATATGCTATGAGAATAATTTAATCTTTTATTTTCTTTAAACTTCAATAATATATTTTGTATACATCATCTAGTCATATATATATACTTGGTCAAATAAATGAATTGGTAATATGTTAAATTGATGTATCTAAATAAATAACATTAATATACATGTAAAGTCAAAATATAATATAATATTAACCAGGGTTGTATGGTCAAATTCAAATAAATGTTTTTTACACCAATATTAACTTTATTTTGCATTTATATAATATTATAATAAATCTATGTATAATAATAAATATCAGAATATTTTTTAATTCATTCTATAGTCAATGTTTCACCCTCCGTGGCAGAGTCTTGTTCCGATTCATATTCAATATCATTATTTTCTTTAATATTTTTAATCAATCTTAAATTATGATACACTCTTACTAATTTTCCTGCTGTAGAAGCCTTTAATCTATTTCTGTTTTTCGTGTGAATATTGCCCTAAACCGACCAATTTCTTTCAGAAGAAGAAGTCGAACTAGGAAATGTTAGTAAAATATTAGCGACTTCTCTTAATGGGCAAGGTGGGCAAAATGCATTCCACCAACTTGAGGCCGAAATTTGATTGTTTCTTATGGAAGTTACAACTTTCCACATATTATGGCTATTAAATATACCGCTTTTGCTTCTGAAATTTACTATATTACTCAAAATATTTTGATTATCACCACCTTGTAAAATACCCAATTCTTGTATTATATTACATGCTTCATCAAATTCAGTATTAGTAAGATGCTCCCCTTGATATTGGGGGTCCAATAAATAAGCAGCATTGTGAGCACATGTATTTAGATCAGTTTTTCTCTTTTCAAACATAACCTTAATTTTTTTTTCTTGAGATGGAGAAAATATAGAATCATGGCATGATTGTATTATGTGTTTTTCCAAATTAAGCATCTCGTTTTTTACTTGGGCCAAAGTACATTTATCCCCTTGCACTTTCAACAATGAGGTAGCTAAAGGCGTCCAAAATTCTTCGTTTAATATATTATTGGTAATTTCTATGGGACAAATATCACAAACAGCTTCTTCAACAACTGATGCTTTTAGAGCTTTCTTGCATATTTGAATTTGTTCCATACATTTTATTGACGATGCCCATCTTGTTTGGCTAATTGTACTTAATGTAGATGGTATGCCATGAAGATTCTTATTACGGGAAAATACTGCAGCTGGTATGTGTTTATTCTTGAAAAATTTAACAATTTTTTTAATTATTGAAATATGGTCACTGAAGGCGTTCAATCGTTCAAAATCGTGAAAGAATAACTGCAATGTATGCGCTGCAAAACCATAACATTGTATATGATTATAAATAGATTCAGATTTTAGAATTCTCCAGGCTGCTTTCATGTTAGCGGCATTATCAGTAACTAAAGAATATACTTTTACCGGATTCAATTCATGAATTACATTTTTAAATTCCTGGGCAATATAATCTGCCGTATGGCGATTTTCCTCAGTATTTAGAAATTTGTAGAACACTGGAACAGGCGTCATCACCATAAAATTAATAATACTCTCGTTTCTAATGTTGCTCCAGCCATCTGATACAATTGATAAGTAAGGAGCTTTATCTATTATATCTGCAACTCTCACCTCCATATCACCTGACGCTTTGTCTAAAAGATATCCAGCCAGCTGCCTTCTCCTGGGTAATGTGTAAATAGGACGTATTTTTTTAAAAAATTCTTGGATGTAGGGATTTTCAGTGATGTGGAAAGGTAAATTGCTCGCATATACAGCCTTTGCAAACTATTGATCCAGCTCATTTTTTTCTTTGGGATTAATTCTATCTATGAAACCGGTTATACAAGATTGAGATTTATATTTAATCGCCTTGCTTGTAGATTGATTAGAAATAATGGAATCAAATTCTCCTGAGTCACAAGACAAAATATTGTTCATTTGATAATCATTCTCACTAATTTCACCCAATTCTTCATTAGAGTTAGACTTAGAAGTATTACAAATTACATTTGTGATATTTTTTGTAGAGGTTGATATTTTGGAATTTGAATAAAATTTTTCCTTAATTATAACAGGGCACATAGTACAGCTGCTTAATAAATGTTTGACCATTCTATCAACGTGGGTGATATAGGACATCTTGCAAAACTTGCACACCGCTTTAACTGATTTACCATCGCGTACTTCTTGAAAATGTTTCCAAACATGATGCTTTGGTTTGACCATAATCCCTAATATATTAAAATTTAACAAAAAATGATTTTGATTATTGTAAAGTTAATCAATCTTAACTATTTTATAATTATCGACCAATTATTCCAATTCTTAATATTATAAATATAATATATATAACTTTTTACCAGAATTGAATAATATTCCGTAAATCTGACCAGAACAATTAAAATGAAAATTAATTTTAAAAACCAAATATAGCAAGTGTAAGTAAAACAAATGAGAATTAATTTAATTTATACTCGGCTAAATATTAAATAAAATTTAAATTTATTAAAAAATAAGAATGAAAAAATTATATTATGATTATAATAAATCGGGTATTTTTATTTTTTTTAAGAAAAATGAATTGAAAAAAATGAAGAAGGCGAGAAACGGCAATGATTAGGCAAAAAAATAACTAAAAATATTACTATATTTAGGAAAATTACATATTTATATTTTAACAATAAAAAAATTCTTTTGTTTTTAACAATTCATGATACAAATAATTTTTTAAATAATTGTAACCTAATAAGATTGATAAACATGCTTTTAATGCATACTAGTTAATTATATCAAAATATTTATTCGCCATTAATATTTTAGAGTATTTGACCGGTCAAATATTCCTCCGGTCAATTGACCGAATTTGACCGGTCAATTGACCGACATGCCAACCCTGATATTAACGCCTTAGACAATGATGTATAAACATTAAATATTGAAGGGCATGACTAAAATACGTGTCCCCGGAAACTACGCGTCCCCAGTCAAACAGGTTTAATTTATATAATATTAATAAAAAATCTTATTTAGCTTTATAAGATGAGTTAAAAAATGTTTTTTATGATTTAAAAAAAAATGATAACTTAGTAAAAATTTTAAAAAATTATTTTTTTACATGAAAAACTACGCGTCCCCGGTCAAGATACAATATTTTTTAAAAAAAAGCAGATTCATATTTAGCTCATTAAATGAATATAGAAAATGTTTTTTATGATTTAAAAAAAATGATAACTTAGTAAAATTTTTAAAAAATTATTTTTTTTAAATGAAAAACTACGCGTCCCTGGTCAAGATACATTTTTTTAAAAAAAATAAAAGCAGATTCTATTTAACTCATTAAATGAATATAGAAAATGTTTTTTATGATTTAAAAAAAATGATAACTTAGTAAAATTTTTAAAAAATTATTTTTTTAAATGAAAAACTACGCATCCCGGGTCAAGATACATTTTTTTTTAAAAAATAAAAGCAGATTCATATTTAGCTCATTTAATGGATACAGAAAATGTTTTTTTTTATTTAAAAAAAAAGTGGTAACTTAGTAAAATTTTTAAAATACTAATTTTTTACATGAAAAAACTACGCGTCCCTGGTCAAGATTAAATAAAAGCAGATTCATATTTAGCTCATTAAATGGATACAGAAAATGTTTTTTTTTATTTTAAAAAAAAGTAGTATAATTTAGTAAAATTTTGAAAAAACATTTTTTTTTCCATTTTTTGACTAAAATACGCGTCCCCGGTCAAGATAGATTATTTTTATAAAAATGAATATAGAATCGTGTATAGTTTATCAAGGAGATTTAGAAAATGGTATTAATAAAAAAATTTAAAAAAAATTTTATATTAAAAAAATAGCCAGCTTCACATACGGGATAGGTTCTAAATCGCTAAAACAAAAATCGCTAAAAATTGGGAACATGGCTTATATCTCTTAGAAAATTTTTAAAGTAAATTTGAAATTATTATAATATAGGGATTAAATACTATTTAAATTGAAAATAATAAAAAAATCGCTAAAATGGAAGAAATATCCAAAATCCCAGTTTTGGAAATCAAATTGGGAATTTGGATGATATTTCTTCCATTTTAGCGATTTTTTTTAAATTTTCAATTTAAATACAAGTATTTAATCCCCTAGTATCTATTATTATTAATTTCAAATTTACTTTAAAAATATTCTAGGAGATATAAGCCATGTTCCCAATTTTTAGCGATTTAGAATGGGAAACAATAATGGTGGTAAAATTTTCTCAAACCTACCATGCGGTAGTTTTACGTTTTAAATTATCCTCATTTTTATGTTTCAATTTTTGTCAAATTATAAACTTTCTATATCTTTTAGTTTTTATCATATACCTTCTATTAGAGAGATTACAACTCACGGTCCAGTTTAAACGGGTTTCAGGCTGCGTCTATTTTTAAAAAAAATAATTTCGGTTCGGGCTCGGTCAGTCCTAATATTTTTTAAAAAATTTAATCCGGGCCAAGTCGGGCTAAAATGTTTAAATATGATATCATTGCATTTAAATAAATTAATTTATTTTAAAATCTCGCAAGAAACAGCGGTATTTTTTTTTATTTGTAGATTATTTACAATCAAAAATAATATTAAATTTAATTAAATTCGGGCCGGGCGTGCAAATAATTTTTACTTTTATTTTGATCGGGCTTTTTGGGACAAATAAAAAAAAATTCGTTGCCCAATGGAGATCACTGCCTACTATTCCTGTGGATTACACATAGAATCTGACAATATTTATCATAGTGATAGCATTTTTATTCCTAAGAACATAATTTTTGTATTTAGACTCCCATAGATGCCATATGGAATCATTATTTTTTTATTAAATCTAGAAATAAGGATTTAAATGAAAAATTTATTTTAAAAAATTTTTTACTTAATAAAAAAGCTGGACTTTAAAGTTAAATATATTTAAATTAACTATTTTTAAAAGTATTTACATCTTTTTGAATGCAAAGTTGATTAAGATATAAATATTTTTATCTTAGATGCAAATGTGATACTGTCCAACTTGTTTGAGATTACAAACTTCACATGTAAAATTTAATATAATGCTAGCTACAAATATTTAAAAAATTTCTGGATATATTTAAATTATAAAAATTATATGAATATGCCTAGATATTTAAGGTTAATTAAAGGTATCAAATAATCATAATTTGTGTACATTATTTCAAATTTTCATACAAAATTATAATACGCATTTGTGCCTGTAATATAAAACCATTCATACTGGCAAAATTTGGGATTTTTTTTATTTAAACTAAAATTTCAATTGGAGAAGTCACAGATTTAGATTAAAAAATATCATACATCATAATTTTTTTTCTCTTTAGTATAATATTACCTTGCAAGTAAAAAATTTATGCATTAGGAGATCCGGAAAAAAAATTATTAATATATACTGATAATAAATGAGTTAATTTGATATTTTATCATATGAAAAACCTACACGATCAAAAATTCGATGATAAATGCAAACTGTTTTAAGAAATTTAACTAGTCGATATAATGGTGGTTTTATTATTTATAATTTTATCTATTGTTATTTCCCAATTGGGTGCCTTAATGCATTCGTCAATCAAATTTAGTAAATAGAATTTTATTTTAAATTACTCAATCACTGTATTTTTTTAAAAAAAATCGGGCTAACTTAAATCAAATTGATTTTTATTGAACCTTATTGTATATGATTTATTTGGATAATGTTAGATTTTAATATAATATTGGGTTGATTTTCAATTCCAATACCAACTAATTAAAAGTCAAAATCAATGCTAATAACTGAGAAATACCCAGGAATCTATAAGGGGGTGGGATAATTTTTTATTGAAAGAATTTCTTGGAAAATTTAAAATTTATTATAACTAAACTAATTGTATGAAGGATGACAATTTCGAACACAAATAATAAAATATTTGAAGATACAAAATGTTTAAGAGTAAATATATTATTGTTAAAAAAAATATTATGGCTTAATTAACCAATATGTAAATAACAATAAAATATCAAATTAAACATTGTGATTATTTGATAAGTAAATCACAAGTACTGTATTGACGATTAAATATATATATTAAGTGGAGCTAGTTTTCTAATGTTCTACTTCTCAGGTACTAATTGGTACAAAATTACAATAAAAATATTTTTTAATGTTTGCAATCCAGGACGTTCTTGGTGGATTATTGACTAAAATTAATCTTTCATACCAAAATTTATATTGTTAAATTAATTAGCATTCAGATGTATTTATATCTTATGAATATAATTGTGCTAATATTTTATTTTTTCAATATTTATTTGTAAATTGGAAAGAGCCATTTGATGAATCACAAATCCTTCATTTATTTGAGTCAAAATATATCCAAAAATGAAATAAAAACGGTTATTTTATTGTAATCTTAATTAGTCCACTTTAATATTGGAACGATTTGTTTGTCTAATCAGTGTTTAGGATTTAAAAAGATGTAAGAAAATATACTTAAAATTTTCGTATGAATCTAGAATTGGATACATTTTGTTTTGCATACTTGTTAACTTAACTAAAAAGGAATTTTATAATAAATTTGATTTAATCGAAATATTTTGGATATCATAATATTTGTATCTTGAATCTTATTTTTTTATATTAGGAAAAATGAAAGGAATTGCATTTATAAAGGATCCAGATGGCTATTGGATAGAAATATTATCAGCTCAATCGATGATTCAGCTTGCCAAATAGATTTAGCGCGTTTATCTCATATATACAATAATTGTTTCAAATTTATGTCAAGCAATCAAAATGTCTATATTCTCAAATCAGTTATATAGCCATTTATATATATATAATATTATTAGATTATGAATTTACTATATTATTTATAAATTATTGGTATATAACTAAAAATTATAGGCTTCAAATAAAAAATTTATATTTTATTGATTGTAAAGCATGATTTCTTACCATAGATTTGTTTTTATCATATTCATGTTAACATTTATAAAAAATTTAGACAAGTCCCATTTACAAATCTGGGATATCGCCTAGGGAATCATGAAACTATTTTGCACTATAGGTGTTAGTTGTTATCTTAAAGCTGACTAGAGATCTGCAAAGCCTAAAATTTATTTTAATCTAATTAAAACGGGTCGGGCAAGTCGTAGATAAAAAAAAAATTTCGGGCCGGGCAATTTAATACAAAAATTTGGTTTGGGCAATTATATTGGCCTGTCATGACATTTTTATACACATTGTTTATTTTTATTTTACTTTTTAATTATAAAGAAATCTTTTGCTAAATTTATTTCCGATTTTTTAGGCCATATCCTTAATTTAAAAAATATAAATAAATAAATTTATTAATTTGAAGAAAAAAAAATAACATAAGCTAAAATTTAAAAATAAAATTGTTTTACATTTTTCGTTATTTAAAATAATAATAATAATAGAATTAATATATTTTTAAAAATTTATTTATTTTGGCAATTTGAAAAAACTACTAAGTAATATTAAAATATGTTTGTTATTTTCAGGGATGTGAACCCTTCGACAAAAAAAAGGGTCCGGGTTCGGGTCCGGTAATAAATTTAAAAAGGACCCGGGTTCAGAGGAAACATAAAAATAATGGCTCAAAATAAGACTTTTTTTCATTCATTTTTTATTATACTTCAATATATACACATTTATAATTCGAAATGAGATAATTTATATTTTAAATATTTTATTCAATCACACAATCATGATACCTTCTAAAATATCATTCTTCAGATTTCCACGTAAATTAGTCAACGATGAAAATCCACCTACTACGCTTACCTAAAATAGATAGTCATTTTTATAATACATAAATTATTGTACTTGTGTCGCCGGTACAGCCATGACGATTCTAGAAAAGGTATATAATTCTGGATATATTGAAGAATTTTCCTCCCAGAATTTTAAAATGTTTGCATCTCTATTTATTCTCATAACTTTCGAGAACTTTTCTATTAAAGATACAATAGATATTTTTTGCTCCTTTCTATCAGATGATAATTTAATTTTTTTTTCTCTATCTAATAGTAAAATTTCCAGATCATCAATATCATTATTGTTATCGCTACAACCAGTAGATATTGTTGTAACCACCAATGTATTGTAAATAATAGAGTTTTGGGTATGACATAAATCTTCAAGATGGTCTATAGCCATTTGTTTTTGCTCACTACTTAATAAAACCTGTTATCGCGGGTCTAAATATATCGAAGCATATACAACACTATTTTGTAAATATTGTTGCTCTCTTATTTTCGTATTTTTAATACTTCATTTGATAAAGAACTTGTTAAGCTCCCTAACTCTAATCGACATCTTAACCATATGCCATAAAAATCCGATAAACATAATTGTTCAGCTTGCACTCTTAATGTTGTTATTTTTAAAGGAACCAGCACACTAGTAAGCTTTGATTCCAATCATCTTCTGACAAAATGATTTCTCATGCTCCTATGATAAAATCATTACAGAAATCTTTCAAACTTAATAATCGCTATAGCATCATACACATAGAGGACCAACGTGTTGTGCAATCTAAAATTGCCATTTACCTTTTCATGGATTTTAATATTCTAACAATTGTGGGAGTTCTTAAATATTTTACAACATCCCTTGCTTTATCATTATAGTTTTAAAGTGACTATTTTTTAGGAGATTCCACGAAAAAATTAATAAAATTATAAAAATTTTATATTATTTTTTAAAAATTATATTTTTACATTAATTTTTAAAAAAAAAAATTTAAGTTAAAAATTTTTAACACCCTGAACCCTTGGACCCTCCACTTTTTAAAAGGATCCGGGTCCGGGTTCAGCCAAAAACGAGGGTCCAGAAGGGTTCAGGGTCCGGGTTCACATCCCTAGTTATTTTTCGTATTTTATTTTCTTTTTTTTAGTTATGTTTTTTTTGTAAAATTATGGAGAATTTCGAATATGTTTCATAATTTTATTAATGCGAAAATTTATAAATTTTGAGGTTCTTTTCAATCCATTTAGGACACACTTAAAATAAATTAAAATGCTTAATAAAAACGATGGGGATGAATAGGCTATTATTATTACGATATGATGAAATGAAGGTTGGCAAGAAATGGCACACAACCTTTGGAATAAAATAATAAACACTATTTATTTTATTGTATGATATGATATTTTAAAAATCAAGATAAAAACATTATTAGTTTAAATTCTTTCTATATTTTGTCTAGATCTTTTAGTAGCTTAGTATATGGAAAATTAATTTTGATGCTTGGGTAATTTGATTTATAGATTTTTTTATTTGATATGTCATTAATTTAAAGTAGCATATCCTGTTAATTTTTTTAAACGAATTCTTGGGCAGCCACATTTTTGATTAGACCAATATTTTAATAATTCATGTCCATTCCAATTGTTCAAAAAATCGCTTTTAAAAATTCACACCGAAAACTTATAATTTTTTTTAAATATGATAGATAATGCTTAAAATTGTAAAGGCGTTAAGAAACTTATTCGCGGGCAAATTTTTTTAGAAAATTTCGAGCCGGGTTTTAGGCAATATTTTTTAGAATTTACCGAACTTCGGGCAAATTGTTAAATTCCGAGTCGTACAAATAATTTAGCGGCTTGGGCAACTTAGGCTAAAATTCTTAACGAGCCTTGCAGACCTATATAGAGGACTATAAAAAAGATTATTTTTCAAAGCATATTTTTGATTTCATTTAACAGATGTATGATCCATGTTTTTCTTTATATTGCAGCTATCCAAATAGCTGAGATATGGTATGCATAATTATATTATTTTTTAAATCTCACAAATGAAAGATTTAATTTGTTTTTGATGCAAATTAGATTTGCACAGCCTGCGTAGGATATTTTTTTAAAAAAAAAATTATACCTGGCCGCGCGAAAAATAATATGAACCGAATCATTTGTAAATAAATTTTTTGCAAAATTTTAATAGGTTACCCCGGGCATTAAAATTTTAATATATTTTTTTGATTTCAAGCTACCTTGATTAGTGATGTTAAACGGCCCAATATGAGTCGATTTTTGAAAACGGTCCGATTAATATTTTGACCAACATAATATTATGTGAGCCTCAAGATTTGGTAAATTTAGATCTTAACCTTGCTGCTACCTATAAACGAAATCTCCAAGCTTCCATAATATTATATTGCCTAAAATCTTAATCACATTATACTATTTGAAAATAATCGCATTGTTCTTATTTCTTCATCTTTAAAGAGTTGTCTAGAGATAATATAATAAATTCACAAAATTAAACACGTTGGATATAATCCAATTACAAATACACAACTGATTTATAAAATACTTATTGTAGGCCATTTATAGGCAGAACGTTTTTTCAAAACGATTTTCTAGGCATGTTTCTACCTCATTTTTTTTATTTATTTCCAAATAAAGGATAATAATTTACAAATAACACTATCCTTTATTCATATTTTATTATTTATTAATATCAAAACATTAAAAAATATATTTGCTTATAATAATAATAATTGAACGTATTAAGTTAATAAATATAGTTTAAAAGTAAAATAAGTTCAATATGTTGTATCCATCTTGGCTTTTGTATTCGAGATATATTTAGATCTAAAAAAAGAGAAGTAAATACTAGCGGTTTAAAAGGAAGAAAATATTTGTCCATTATAGTCAACTCAAAAAGTTTCAATTTAAAAAAAAACTTTTGATAGTTGCTCAATTAAAAGCCGATTTTAAGGTATAAGTATGAGGAAAAAAATAATGAAAGCTAAGGCTAGACTAGAGTAGAGGAATTGTAAAAAAATATTTAGTCTGAGTATAAATTTAAGAATATATACCAGAGACGCAGAGATACCATTTGCATGGCCCGACTTGGATTTTATTACATTTATTTTTAAAATTTATAGTTTATAGTAGCGATTTAAAATATTCGGTTTATATCTGACCCGGGTTTTTTGTTTAAAAAAATTTTTAGACCTGGGTACGGGTATATTTAAAAAAAAATTAAATACGGCCCGTATCCCCAGATATAGAGCCTGACCGGCCCTGCATATCTTTGATATATTAAACCAAACTCTTTTAAATATAACCTTATTAAACTATATTATGTGGGAAATTACTATTATTTTTTATGGAGATAAAGTAAACTCCGATCCTATATAAAAGAAACAGACCTGAAATAATAACTTTAGGGGTATGGATTATTATACAGTATGAAGTTAAAATATTACCACCTCTCATGTCGCAAATCATACAAATTAAAAAGATGGAAATAAAAAGGTTGTGCATATATTTTTTTAAAAAGCTAATATTTTATCTTACCCGCTAGAATTATCTTTAAAAGGAAATCCAGGATACCCGACATTTAAATAACCTCCAGGCATGGTGGGTCTGTAATTAAAGGGAGTATTAAAAGAATTGAAATTATAAGGAAATCGCGTATTTGCATAAGGAATTCTATTATTGTCGTTATTTAAAACGTTGGTTGACATATAATTAATTGGCATATTTGGATTTTGAGGCTAAAGTATAAAATATTTTTAAAAATATATAATATGTTAATATATTTTCTTTTCATTCTTATTCTTTTTTTTTGTAATTCTAGTAAAGATTTGTTGTAAATTATTTATTCATCTGTGCCGGACTATATAATGTAATTTTAAGACATACTTTTGTTTTAAATTCTTTTTGCTTTATTGGTTTTTCTTTAGACATTTTGTGAATGATATCTTGTGCCGCTATTAAAATTTCCAAATTTTTAGTGCAAACATATAATTCAGTTGTGAAAAATTCTACGATTACTTCCTGTTTAGTAAAATGGATAAAAGAAAGTTGCATAGTGTTAAATTTATATGCATATATTGATTAATTTCAATTTTTTTAAGATGTATAAATATTAATTTGATTAGCAAGGGAGACTGGGGTTGGTGAGCTACAGCACTTTTTGAACACCCTTAACTTCTAAAATAAGTATTTATTTTGCATAAATATATTACAAATTATACTTCTTACTTATAGCAATTGTTGGTTTAAATTTTAAAGAAAAATATTTTGTACCTTTCATGAAAATTAAATATTTATAGAGAAGGTTTCATTGGCAATTTTAGCTATACCCTTGCTAAGCTAAATTGAGCACTTTTTCTTAATTACATAATTTTTTAAGTAAAAATTGTTAATATATAATTTTTAGATAATTATTACATTTTTTTAGGAAAAAGAAGGGGGGGGGGGTTAAAATTACAAATCCATGTGTTTAAAAGCTATATAGATTAGACACTGGAACTAATCCTCATTACGAAATATAATAATTCTTCAAATTTAATTATTTCTGATCTGAAAATAATCAATCACAGAAACTTCAATTAAATACTTGCATAATTTATCTCCTGAGGTAGAGTAAAACAAATTCTTGATTTATACTTCTATGGAGTTTGACCAAATTTGAGTTTTCTAAATATAACCTTTAATTGTTTGATAAGTTTCATTTCTTGATTAAAACTTTTAAACGTTAATTTGTTTAAATTATTTTGTTATCTTCCATATGAAGTTCTTTTTCGAATATAATTTCTGATCATAATTTTTTGGTAAAAATATCAAAAAATGCGCGAAGATTTAAAAAAAAGTCTAATTCAGAATACAAACTAATCTTAAACAACATGCCCCATTCATTTTAACCCAATTGTATCGTACTTAAAAGAGCTATTTTGATCTGAAAAATTGATAGATAATTTAAAAAATATATTTCTAAATTATGAGACCATTTCTTAAAACCATATATTTTATTTTTTTAAAGAAAATATAAAATTTTTTAAGTAATTTTTTTGCCCTTTAAAAATTTTATATGAATTCTAAAGTTAAATATTCTTATAACCAGCCTCATATACCTGTTTCTAAAATAGCCAAACAGAATATAACATTAAATTAGCTGTTAGCGAATAAACGAATAAAGATAACTAATTACTATTGTAAAAATGGATCCCCTAGAGGAATGCGGGTCGAGAACGGCCCGATTAAGATTTTAGCCAAAATAATATTATGTAAGAACCTGGATATTTTTCTCATAGATAGGACGAATGTATGGAACAGTATTTTTCAAAATCTCAAGGCTTACATGATATTCTTTTGGCTATATTCCTAATCGAGTCGATAGGCTTCTCAATAACACTAAGCATCATTTTCAGTGAAGGTTTGATGATTCCAAAAATTGTATTTCTTAATATACCTGATTTACAATTTATTTTTTGTTAATATTACGAAAGTTTCTGTGATGAATAATGGTCATTATATTTTAACTCAAGAGTATCATCATACCGATACGCAGTTATATTCCTTAATTGTTTTCAATAAAAATTAACAAAATAATATAAAATAAACTGAAATTACAATTAATTCAAATGATTTACTTGAATTTTTTTCATTTTTAATGACTCGATTTCATGAACCATTCTTTCGTCATAAAGTGAGTTAATGCTTTTCAATGAAAAAATATTATCCTGTGATCTGAATATGCGATTCTCCGAAGTTTTGGTGATTTGCTAAAAATGAATAAAATATATAATTAAATATAATCATTTATTTATAAAACCCTAAATTTCTGAATTTCTTTAAAATACGATTCCAAAATTTTGGTAATAAAAATTTGCAATCTTTGAATCTATTATAAAAATATAAAGGATTTTACCAAAAAAATACATTCTTAAAATATCTACCAAATATTTAAGTCCAGTACACATATTTATAAAAGTATTCCTAAGTGGTGGTATATTTTTGAATTTTTTTTGGATCGTGATCATGGGTTGGGTAACGTATTTTAAATAAAAGTGATGACCAAATCCTATTAGTCAAAGAAAATCGTTATACGGGAACGACAGCAAAATTTTTATACAATTTTGAAAGAATATTCCAATTCTTGAAATTACTTACTACTCCTCGTAATAGCATCGATATTGCTTATTCTCTTATGAAACTATGAATATTCGGTTTACTAAATACTATTACTACTTTTAAAGGATAATGCATTTTGATGTGAACGCTTCTACATAAGGAGTTTCATAAAAAACAAAGTGTTCTTGATCCTGGTTCTCTCTTTAATTCGAATCATATTGACAATTTGAGGATGATCAGAACCAGGGTTAGGCAAAAGTTTATATTATTGTTACTTTGCAAGTAGTGTTCATTTTAAAAATGTCACGAAGAGCTGTAACAGTTATAATTTTTACGAGTAACTTAACGTAGTTTTTTTCGTTATTTTATAATTACAAAATATAATTAAAAAATCTTCTAATAAATATTATTTAAATTATTATATTATCATTTGATAATAAAAATAAACTTCTGCTTTAGTAGAGAGGTCGTCCTATCCCACTTTTTTAATTTCATTTTTTTCCAGCGTATTAATGTAAATTACTGAAATTTTTAAAGCCGTGTATATTATAAAATTGATAAATATAGTTAGAGCAATAATTTCAATTTTATTATACAGCTTAATAACAGTCTTTGACATAATAAATGTGATAGAAACCCTAATATCAACAACCGGAAATGACCATAGATAAAAAAGCATTTTTTTCTAATTTATTTTTATGTAGATTTATACCAAACTGCTTTATATTTGTACAAAATCCTAGAATGGGCTGAATGTGGGTCTAGGAACCCTTTATATCACTAAAATTGATTAGAATTTAACATAAATATCATCATATCTAAATTTAAATGATATACTTAGGTAATAATTTTTATTTAAAAATTATGTTTAAGTGAAAGGCCCTTACTTTATTATTTAAATAAATTATTTGAGATGTGGGGTGGGAGAGGGGTGTTAATGTGGTTTATTTAACACTTTGGTTAAATTTTCTCTTGAAATTATTTGGGGAAATAATTTTAAATCTTTTATTTTAGCATCACTATTTATTATTTGGCGCGAATTCAATGATTATATAACAATTCTTGAAATTCTGACATAATCCGACAGCTAATTTGTAGATTATTTAATCGAAAAATTAAATAATTTGATTATAACTTCACAACAATCAATATTTCAAAACTTATTAAAGTCCAATCAATATGTTGGCGAATTCTTTGTTATTACTGACCATTCAGAAAATTATGCATTTGTAGTTCAGGACCATGCACAAGGATTCCATTGGAACAATAATCAGGATACTATTAAACAAGCAAATTTCGAGATTGTTTAAAGCACAAAGCATGTGTATTTTATTTATTTCAAATAATTGATCTTTTTCTTTAAAGAAATGAAAAATTAGTTAAAGTTCATTATTTTTCTGAGAACTTTATCAACCTCTACATTCATGAAAATGATTTTGTGAAAAAGGAAGAGTGGCACACACCTGGTAAAAGTTCCTGTGACAGTTTCGGGAACGTTATTAAAAGGTTAGCAGCACGACCTAGATATTCATATGAATATCTAATATGAAAAATCATCTTAAAAACAGGTTTTTGAAAGCAAAACAAATTTTTATAACCCAAAATTTTATTTCTTTATTCCCCTGGAAGAAAATAAGATAAAAATGGAAATTTATTCAAATTTTTCGAGTGAATTAATATGATATAATTAAAAAATTTTATATATTATTATAAATTTTTGATTTTATTGTGTGTAATTATAGAAATTATTTGGCCAAATTAAGTTATAAATATTTTTAGAATTATTCACGAATTTCAAGAGAAAATTTAACCAAAGTATTAAATAAACCACATTATCACCGCGCCTCACCCCCCCCCCCGCCCTACCGCTTAAATAATTTTTTTAAATAATCAAATAAAGGTCTTTCATTTAGACATAATTTTAAATAAAAATTCAGAGGCCTGCAGAGGTACCATTTTTAATTTTTGGGCCCGGTCCGGATATATTTTAAAAAATTAAAATACGGCCCGGCCCGGTGCAGGTTTCTGTAAAAAATTATTACGTATATCTTCACTAAATTTAAATATAATGATATTTATGTTAAATTTATGATCAATTTTAGCCATATAAAGGGTCAAAACTCCTAGACCCGCATTCAACCCTGTCTAGGATTTTGCATAAATATAAAGCAGTCTGGTATACATCTACAGAAAATAGATTTTGAAATAGTAAATACCTATTTTCTAAGGCTATTTCCGGTTACGTATTTCTGGTTTTTGGTATATTGGGTTTGCATATTTATTTATATATCATATTCCAGATATATTATTAAGCTATATAATAAAATTTTAATTATTGCTCTAAATTATTTATTTTTGAGATATTTGAAAATTAATGAAGTGCATTTTGTCAAAAATGTACCAATTTTCTGCTTTTTGAACACCCATATCTTAGCGAATGAAGTAAAATTTCATTTTTTTTCATAGTATATCAATATAAAAAAAATTAAAAAATTCTGGGGGTCGGGTTGAAACCTTGATTGATTTGATATGGAATTCACCATATACAAGGCTAATATGTAAAATATAAAAAAAAATTGAGATATCAGTGATATAAATTTTGAAACATACAAAAGCCTATTAAAATTGGACCTGCTTATGGGATATTTTTCCCAAAATGTGAAAATATCATTTTTCTCTTTACCAATTTTTCAAAAATATAAAATAAAAAGAATGCCATTATTAATCACTCGAATCAATATCATTTTTTATTCAGTAGGCTTTTTCATCTTTATTGCAATTTTTTACACTTTTCGCTTATTATTTTATTACAATTAATTATGCAAAGGAGTGTTCTTAACCGTTATATTTTTTAAGTAACTTGTATCCATAACTTTATGAAGTAATGCCCAACCCTGGATCCTGAACCTACTCTTGATTTAAAGGCTGAACAGTAAATATTGAAACAAAAAGAAATGGCGTTAAAATTATTTTTTAACATTTTGTTATATCTAATTTCGGATTGAATGACCATAAGGAAAGAACCTATTAGGTGAGTCAAATCAAAATTTTAATATTGGATTCTATATATATATTTGCGCAGTGCAATTAATTTCATTACATTTAATTTAATAATTACTTTAAAATCTTTCAAATCAGCCAGATTAACCAAATTATGGCATATTAGATTAAGATGATTCTTGAAGGATGCATCAATTTTATTATGATCTTGATATTTTTCGCTACTATATGAATTAGCTATAATCTGAAGGAATGATGAAAAATTATCTTCAGAATCTCTAACCCTTTAAATATAAACCCATGTTTATAATAATTTTTTTTACTAACTTTGCATTATGATAAATGTAATCAGACACTTGATCTTTCAGATTACTTATCAAAGCCTCATTGTCATACACAATTTCGTCTAAAGATTTCTGCTTTGGTTTAAAGGCAAACATTGAATTAGATCTAATTCATATAATTTTACATATTTATTTATAATAATGTAGTCAAAAATCATGAGGTAAAAAAAATATGTAATTGACTCAACGAAAAATATTTGAGAAATATTATTTAGAATAATATTTGAGAAATATTATTTAGAATAATATTTGAGAAATATTATTTAGAATAATATTTTATAATTAGAAATAAATATAAATCATTGGCATCGACTGAAGCCCTACAAGGCCCTGTTCGATCCGACCAAATATGGGAACCTTCTATCAGGAGGGCATATTGGGAGCTCGAGCTCCATATAATGGCTTTTCATATAATATTTATTTCAGAATTTTCCTGCAAAAAAATTTTCAAACTGCAATAACATAATAAATAATACTTATTTACATTAAAGAGTCGTTGAATAGAAATCAGCTGATGACACGCTATTCTGGTTAACCTATGTAATATTTTTTTTTAAAGTTTTCGTAAAATTGTGATGAATTATTAGTCGAGAAATCAAAATGGCATGTCATCAGCTGATTTGTATTGATGCACATTTAAATGAATGAATGACGTTTAGTTATTTTTAATCGTTATTAATTGAATATCCTCATAATAATATAAAAAAAAATAATCAAATTCTTTCCCCAATTATTTCCTATTTAGGCTATGTCCAAAATCCTTTTATTTCGAAAAGTTATAAATCTTTCAAAAGTTTTAACATTTTAATGAAATTGTATATTAAATTTTTTTAAAAGAATTATATTTTGGACATGCGAATAGATTTTTTTGAAATTTTGGATACAAGTCTTAAGAAATTTAAAAAATTATTTAATTTATCTTCTTTCGTTATATCGTTAATTGCAATTATTGGGAAATGTTTTAATTTTTAACAACTGATAATCAAAATCCTTTCAATTCGATCCTAGATTCAAGTTGTCTAACTGTTATTTTAAAATAGATTTTTGAAGATTGCGAATTATGTGTGAATGAAATTATAATTATATATTTTATTTTTAGGTTATATAGAATAATTTAATAATTTTTATATTAAATGCCATTTTTTTTCTATCTTTTAGATAAAATTATATATTGAAAAACCATATATCTCTAATAAATTAACAATACCTAACCATTTAGGATTTTTAAATTTTAATAAATACTAAAAATGAAATATATTTTAAATTAAAAAAAACAAAAAACATTACTATCATGCTATTTGGATTAGGAATTTATTTCGAAATTAAAATTAAAAAAAAATATATATAATTTTTTTTTCTAACATTCCTTTTATCTGGCTTAAATTTATAATTACTTATCAGTAAACCGCCCTGTTTTAAAATTCAATTAAAGTTTATGTTAATTATCCTTAAAATATTATACGTGCACAGTGGGTATTAAATTACATTTTTCTCCACATTATTTTATTAGAGTCAGAGGGACAAAAGTGGTTTTATCACATGGCTAAAATATATAATTGACTAAATAGTCTTTTTTAGTCAGCGTAAAAAAAAGCCGAAATGATAAAATCATCTGTTAGTGCCACTGCAAAAATTAAAATTATATCATAAAAATGACTTTTACCTTTAAAACGAATAATAGGAAAATAATATTTTATATATAAAATAAAATTGAAACGTTTTATAAGTTGATTATTTTTTATAAAAAATCGATACAATATGATTATTGATTAAATTTACCTGGAAAATTAATTTATCATTAGATTGAAAAATATACTAATATTTTATCAAACACTAAAAAAAAATCCTTCAACATTTCTTGTATAACTTTTTATTTGCTTTTATTTCATTCAATTATTAATCCTTTTTTTATTATCAATAACCCATTTTTTCACTTTTTGAAAATATTTTAATCAAATTTTGGGTAAGCGGAAAATAATTCCCTGGAAAAAAAATCCCCAATAATAATTCTTAGAATATAATTCTCCGGAACTGATTTTCTCAAAATTTTATATATATTATTTGAGGATTATTATTCAATGGATATATTTTTCTCCTATTTTATTAATATCTTAAAAAACGGGGATTTTTTTTTCCGGGGCTCCTAAATTCCAAATTTTGGAATTGAATGGCATAAGCATTATATTTTTATGAATACGAATATTACCATTAATTATTATTTTTGTAGGCCTACTCAGTAGTTGTCAGATAGTTTTTAAAACAGCCGATTAAGATTTTAGCCATATAAGAATGACAATAATGCGAAATAGACATTTAAAAAATTGAATGTGAAAAAAGAAACATTTAACATAGCTATATTATTATGGATTAGAAAATGATTATAAAATTTCTAAATTAATCATTGAGGATCGTAACAGGTTTTTAGATTTTTTTGATAATGTTAAAAAAATTTTATCTACAGATGATGTTTTAATACCTCGTCATTACATGGGGAAGACTATTCATCAATGAATCTCAAAGTTTGTGTTAAAATAAAATTTCAACAATATGTGTATAAAAAAAAATCCATTTATCCCTGATCATGAAAGCTTTTAGAAAGACTTTTCGGGCCAAAAACTCTATAATAAAGAATTTCTAAACTTTCCTAATCTGGAGAAGTGTAAAAACAAAAGCCAGAACCAACCTACCTTAAAATTTATAAGAAAACTTATTTATAAACTTACAGAAACCCAACAAAAGTGTAACTAATTTAAATTTAATATTGTTTCGATGTATGATTCATTTTAAAGAGTTTGGGACGGAAACCTCGAGTCAAATCTAAGAACAAGAAACCACTTCAAGAAAATTCTTAGGAATCGGTATCCTTTTTAGTTCAAGTTTTAGCCTCATATTATGAATAATAGTACTGTTATTTGAACAATTAAACTTGCAATGTATGATTGATTATATGATCATGCATCGATATGGATAAATTAAATATTACGGGTGCATTTATCCCGTTAAACATTAATAATATATCTACAAAAGGCAACAATTGATAGATAAAATTAATTGATCCCACTGAGATAGTTTAGAAATACGAAAAATACGATGTTGGAAAATTTTTGTCAACCAGTATTAAGGTAAAGCTGATTTTGAGATCTCAATAGTGTTAATTAATATAAACTTTATCCAGCTCTAAAATGTAGCTAATTTTTTAAACATAAAAAATTCGTCTCAACCATTAATTTGAAGGCCAACTTAGAAGTTTATCTTCAATTTTTTGGGCTAAAAACGTATCCGTATTGGTGTTGATCAAGGTTAAGTGATTTAACAACACATCCGAACAGAAACGAATATAGGTTCGGTTCATGTTATAAATAATAAAAATATTGGTAGGTTTGAATCTTAAACCCTGTTTCAGTTTACAAGCCTTTTAGAATTATTTGTGGATAAACACATATAATTTAAATTTTATCTTTTAAAACTTATACAGAAAGTAATCAACGTATGCTTTATCATTATTACACATACAGGCCTAATTTATATAGACTTAAAATATTTTGACCAGAATAAAAATTTAAAAGCTCAAAAAATTCCTTAATCGTAATTAAATTAAATATTTAGGCGTTGCTATGGCTCGTTTTATTTCTCAACAGTAGTCTGTTTAGCCGTCTATATAACTTCCTCTAAATAGCCTATAAATAAAAAGACTATTTAGATTTGCGCAAAAGATCACGCGTCTTTGATTTATTTATACCGAAAATATATAAATATAACAAATAATATTTAATGTAAAAACTTAAAACAAATCAAAATAGGGTGCCCTAATTCAAAATCTGTTTATCCTAAGTTTCAAAAATAAGACGAACCAGGACATTTTTATCTGAGCATAAAGAAAAAATTCTGGGCATCTAATATTTTTTTCTGAGCGGTAAGTATTTATTCTAAGCGTTTTAGGTTTTTTGAGCATTTAAGTTTTAATTCTGAGCAATTAAATAAGAGAAATTTATTAAAATTTTATCTAATTATTTTTCATCCATGTAAGTGTTGCTAAACTGTGATTTAGGTAGATTATTTAAAAACGGTCCAATTAAGATTTTAGTCAAAGTAATATTATGTAAGCCGAGATTGGGCAAATAGGGGTCCAAACCTTTTTACCACCTATTAGCAAAATCTCTGGACTTAAATAATATTATTTTGGCTAAAATCTTAATTGGACTGTTTTTAAAAATCGACCCGATTGGGGCCCGTTTAACAACACCTACATATATATAATAGAAAGGTGATGGTAAAAATATAGTATTCCTAGTCCACAATGAACGGAATGAGTTCTTGGCGATACAATATTACGTTTTTATTATTTTTTATTAATAAATAAATATTATAATATTATCTCACATTTAGTCATTATAAAAGCAAATTACAATTAGTACAATTAAACGGCAAAAAAAATTTGCAAATATATTTGTCTTCATGTTGGTTAACGACTATTCCAGTCGTCCTTTTCTTTAATTTCATCTTGAACCTCTTTAATGTACGATTTTAAGTAAGGTTTATCCTATTTAAAAAAAATTTTTTTAATTGTTATCAGATAGATATTATTACGTCCTCGTACTTGACCCATTGTTCTTTAGGTAATGTAGCCTTTTGCATACTCAAGTATATAGCTCTCATCTGACGGTGTTGGCGTTGATGAAATAGATCATCGGGGAGTCGTCTTACTGCTTCCAATACTATTGGATTAAAATCATGATAAAGGTCATCGTATAACAAGCCTAAAATAAAAAGGGATAATGCAAATTTTCTTCAAAATATACCGTATTTGTTGTAGCCATTATATTCGAATTTAAATTTGTTGAACGAACTTCTGAACACTAATAACAATTTTTTTAAAAATAAATAAATATAGTATCAGCCAAATGAATTTATTATTTACCTCCACTACCGGATTTCAGAGCATGAGACATAACTTTTAATCAACGAGTCTATATAAAATAGATATTTTTATATTAATGATATCAATGCTAATATTGGATCTTTATATCATTTTGGTAAGTGAGCTATTGAATCATTATTTAAAATATATTAATCCTAACCTGGATAGTTTCTTTTTTGGCCCTAAGCATGTCCAAGTGGTTGGTTACAAAAAAATATTGGTAATACCAGGTAATGGAACAAAAAAATTCGAGTAAATAATAATGGCTCAATAACTACTAACTTGCCATTTTAATAAAAAATATTATGCCATTGTCGATTCCTCTGTCTTACCTTCCAACTATTTATTCATACCATTAATTGCTATAACGCTAATTTCTTTTGGCATGCACACCCTAGTATTCTTTAAGGATCTAGGGCGTCGCGTTACATCAAAGACCGAAGATAGAACAAACGAAGACTTTTACCTTAGACAAAGAAGAGCGTTTAATATAATTCGACCTAACTAAAGCGCGGCTGAATTCTTATTAGTTTATCAAATAAACGTCTTTGTTTAGGTTTCTTTTAAAAAAATATCAGATGACTTTGAAGAAAGCAGAAATAAATCACTCACACCTCAATGCTTAGCGGATGTTTTTTGACAAGCCGCCCCTGGAGATTGAGCTTAATCAGCCGATTTTTAGCCATTAATCAACCATACTCTATCCCCAGAATATTTCATCCATCCTCTCTTGAACTGATAAAATGAGGTCTTGGCAAGCCTCATCTGAAATTTCTTTCAGATTTCTGTGATTTGGCTTTAAAACCCCTTTTAATAGTCGTTTTTGCTTTTCCAACTCTCTTTTTTAAATTTTATCTTGTACATGTTTTTTCTTATTTTTTAACAAATTTAAATGTTTAATTTTATATAGCTGAATATTATATTAGGTAAATAAAAAGCAGAACATAAGATATAAGACTAAATTTACAATTTAATAAATGGGAAAATTAATCAAACTAAGTGCATACATTTCTTCATTTAAAAAAAAAATTATTATAAATGATAAAGGGCGGAGAAGAGATATAAGTCGGACCAGCTACTCAGGAAAAGAACCCATGAAATTCGATTTTATAATCTGAATTCCAATGCTCTGACGTAAGAATTCCTTCTTTTGGATATCCTTATTTAATCCATGTGTTCTGCAAGCTTTTTCAATAGACTAAGTGCCTGGTTCCCAAAGGATGTTTGTTAAGATTGTTGTGATAAATAGAATCAATTGATATTCACCTGGTAAATCAGTATGTTTATTTGTTTTAAAATTATCTGTGTATTTTAGAATGTTTTTGTTGATATTGGAGGGTGAAAGGAAGTTAACGCAGGAAAGGTCTCATGCTAGAAATCAGCCCTTCTCCCAAGGAATCTGAGTAATTCTATCATACCGCTCTAAGCGAAGAAGTGGGGGTTCTAAAGTTGCAGAAAACCCTGCGGCCTGTAAAGCGTTTAATGGAAGCATTGCATCTTATATGTTTGATTGAACATCCACTACTATCGATGCATTGAGGCAAAGATGGCCAAATTTGCTTACTAATTTTTGTGGAATAGTGGCTAAGTATTCATAGCTAGATTATTGGTTGAGAGGCTAGGAGGGCATGTTCCTGGAACTGAGGCTTTCCATATGATATAAGTTTCGTCAAGCAGTATATCTAGCAAGGATGAACAATTATTATTTTATAGCTGGTATATCTGGACGAGATGAAGCTATTGATATAAATTATAGATGATCGTAACCCTATATCTCCTTTATTGGCATAGAGTATAAGTTTATTGAAGGGTAGGTATTGAGTTGAAGCCACCATGAATTGAAGTTCTTAATATGGATAATTCTCAGGATGGACAGAAGTTGAACTTTGTTATACACGTTTATTTGTAGATCATAGATAGCAGAGTTGTTAAAGTATCTAGATCCTGTATCTAGATATAAAAATGTAGTATCTGTATCTAGATAGATTTTTGATTAAAATATCTGTATCTGTATCTAGATATTATTTTAGACGTATCTGTATCTGTTTTTAGATACTTTTCAAGATACATTTTGTTACTTTTATTTAACGATTTTTATATTATAAACAAAAATACTTGAATGCAAAATTTATTTTATTTCATATGAGCATATAATTTAATATATATATTAAAAAATATTAAGACTACTATAATAAAAAATTATATATATAAAATATTAAAATATATAAAAAAATAGATATATAAATATTCATTAAATATTATGTCAGAGTTTATCAATATACCAGACAAATTTTGATATTACAATGCAACTCAAGAAATCTGCCATTTTTAATTTTCAATGGAATTAGTTAATTTTATTTTATTATACAATTTTAAAAATTTATTTTAGATTAATATTAAAAGTGATGAAGAGGAAGAGAAAGGAGTAATAATCAATGAAGCATCAACAAGTTCAGACATTGTTTTCATGGCCAATTTATAGAGAATATTTTAAAATAAAATCTCAAAATAAAAAAAACAAATCTCTGATAGTAAAATGTTTGCCATATCTACAAAAAAATACGAAAATTTCAGTTAGCATTACCTCATCTTGCAACATTGTAAAATATTTAAGGGCATAGAGACTTAATGTTTACAATTGTAATTTTCAATTTTCAGAGAAAAAATCAAACACTGTTAATGTAAAAAACAATTAATACAAAGATTAGTTGATAAATTATCAAGGTCTTCAACTGATTGCAGACAAATAACCTGAGAAAAAAAACAATTAATTTATATCCTATTTTTTTCAGTACCCCATAGCAGCAGATATGATTGTTAATAATGATTTAAATTTTGATACTCAACAAATTTTAAATATTTTTTTCGAAAATGAATGCCCAGATTTTAGTATTTTTAAAGAATATCCTGCTATAAAATTGTTATTTATAAAATATAACATCACAATCCCTTCAAGTGCCCCTGTAGAAAGGCTTTTTAGTGTAGCTAAAAATGTCTTTACGGATTAACGAGGATGCTTTAATGACCAAAATTTTAAAGATATTAAATTATAATCTAATAATAATTTATAATCATTTATTCATTTCATATATTATATTATATTAAAATCTAAAAATCATTATTTTAATTTTGATAAATGTGATATCTAGCCAATAAAGTTTTTAGCTCATTTCATACATTTTCGCAATAGAATTCTAATTTAGGTTCATGCAAAGCTTATATAAGAGTATAAATTGTATCTGTATCTAGATACATATTAAAAATTGTATCTGTATCAAGATAACTTTTTAGATGATGTATCTGTGCCTGGATCTAGATAACTTTTTAGAACTATGTATCTGTATCTAGATCCATTAAAAAGTATCTTTTAACAACTCTGATAGATAGGTATTTCAATTTTAATATTTTATTTTGATCATGGCAAATTTGATCTAACATTTTATTTTCTTCAATTGAGGTGGTTAATATGAATGCAGAATTATTTGATTCAAACATAAAAATCGAATACAAATAATGCAAAATATTTGATTTGACTCATATTTTTGTAGGTATAATAATATTATATTTTTTAGTATCGGTGGTGCATCATATCAGTATTGGCTAAAAAAAAGTGGCATTGGCATATCTCTGATTTCTTTGAATTTAGACATATACTATGTTTAGACTAAAGTTTTATCTAAAGCGTATACAATGTGGATGTCGTTTTAATATGGGTGATAAATTTAACTCCCCCCGCACAAAAAATCTACCTATATTGGATCATTTCTGTAGTACTATCAAAAAATATTGGATCAGATCAGTAAATTCAAAAAATATTGGATCAGATCAGTAAATTCAAAAAAAATGTAATAAAAAATTTATGGAAAACTACAGCCATAATTAAAACAAATTAACAGATCTTTCACCAGTTTAAGGGTAAAAGACCTTTTATGGTCACTTTAAAAACAATCAACTAGAGAATTTTTAAATTATTTAGATAGTTTGGGTAATAAACAAAAATGATAAAAAATTTTAGAATCAAAATAAAAAAGCAACTCACATTTTCTTGTAATTGTAGTAACATTTTTGTATTTTAACACCAAAAATTGATAAATATATTTTTTAAAAAATATAAATCCATATTTAAATAAAAATTTTGTTCATAGCAAAATATTTTAAGGTAACATGAATTATTTCAAGTGATTCATAAAAATATATGTTATTTTATTAAACTTTATTAATAAACTATGCAAAAAAAATTGCAAAACATTTACAAATTTTTAATGTTCCTCATTTTAAATAGACAAAGTAACTTATTACTATTTATTTCACAATTATATTCATAATGAATTTAATAAAAAATTATTTATATCCATTACTGGTTAACAGTACATATCTACACCACTTCATATCATTTTTAAATATAGTTTTAATTTTAATATAATAAAAAAACGTTTTTATATAGTTTCTATGTATTTCAATGCTAGAAAGAAATTTTATGCCTCTATAAGAATCCTTTAAACATGGCTAATTTTTGAGGACTAAAATGCTATCTTCTAAAGGATCTAACAAACATAATATGCAATTTTAATCAATATATATAAATTTTCTATATATATGTTAGCTTCAATATGTTTTTTTCGGCAATGTGTTATTTTTACAACCTTAAATCATTTTTTGAGCGCGTTTTTTAAATTGGAAAATCTGATTTTACCGGATTCTATTAGAATACCTATCTTGTGAATTGTGGACAATTTTGCCGTTAACCTTTGACATTGATAATTTATATAAAAAATATATGGAAAATTTAATATAACTTATATAGTTTAAATTCATGGAAAAATTGTCTAAAATTCATATGATAGGTATACCAAACATGATAGCATTAGAGGTCTGAATGTATGGTCGGGTTTTTTTAAATATTTACAGCATTGGGCGGATGGCGGGCGGTTGAAAAATTTTAAGGTAATGGGCGGGCGTGGGATGGTTTTGATTTTTCAGGCGAAATTAGCAGAACAGACTTCAATTTAAAATTCTTTTAAAAAATTATAAGTGAGTGGGTGGGCGGGT